CCCCCCCCCCGGTCCCACGACACAGCCTTCGCCGATGGCGCCCGCGACCACATTGACTTCCCCACCGCCCCGGCCATCTCCCTCCCTCGGGCGATCGCCGCGGCCCAGCTGACCACCCGCGACATCAGCCTCTACGAGATCAACGAGGCCTTCGCCGTGGTGCCGCTGGTCAACCAGCAGCTCCTGGACCTGGACCCGGAGACTGTCAACGTCCGTGGTGGTGCTATCTCCCTTGGCCACCCGATCGGGTTCGTACCTGGGCATGCTGCCTCTCCCTCCCTTCCCCTCTCTCTCCCTCTGCTCTTTTCGCTCGTGCTTTCCTCTGCCTCGCCCATCTGACACCATCCCTTTCTTTGCCTCTTCCTCTCGCTCCTCTCGCTCCTCTCGCTCCTCTCGCTCCTCCCGCTCCTCCCGCTCCTCCCCGCACACGCGTCCACCTCTCGATGCCAGTGCCTCCGGTGCTCGTATCCTGGTTACCCTGCTGCATGCCCTGCAGGCTGGTCAGTTTGGCGCGGCGTCCATTTGCAACGGCGGTGGCGGCTCCTCCTCCATGGTTGTCCAGCGCCTGTAAGTGTCTAGCGCCATTTCCCCCCCTCCCCCTCATATAGCAAACACACACACACATGCACATGCACATGCACGCCTATACAGTGCGCCCCTCCCCCCACTCCCCGAGGGCAACCTGGATCCCGCAAGATCGCCAAGTCCCCTTCCCTCGCCTGCTCCTGTCATGCGCCACCTTTTCCCCCACTGCCCCAGGGTCGCCGAATAGAGAGGTATCGGGATTTGTTTCTCCATTTGGCAACTTCCCTCCTGAGCAGGCGCCAAGCCTTCAACACAGATTTGCCCGGCGGAGGGGATCGACAAGAGACCACCAAAAGAGATACTTCGGGTTCGGGCACAGAGAGTGCCCCTTGCGGGGGGATCACAGGGCGGCACAGCGCACAAGCACGCGTACCAGCCCACACTGAGCCCCGCTGGGTGTCTATTTTGCGAAGGTCGCGCTCCAAGGGGGGGGGGGGGAGAAAAGGAAAGAAACAAGGTCGGAACTGAGGGGAAAGGGAGAGAAAGAGGAGGGGGGAGAGAGAGAGAGGGAGGGCGGAAGAAGGGAAAATCAGGCACAGGAACTCGCCGTGCATGAGGAGGAACGCCTGGAAAAAAAAGAAGAAGAACCCGCCAATCAAAGGGGGCAGCGACGGGGGGGGGATTGAGATGTGAAAACTGGGGAATGAGCGAGGGAGGGGGGAAGAACACAAGTATGTCCGCCCTAGGGGAAAATGAAGGACGATGTGCCAGACAGAAGGGGCGCCGTGGTGTCCTCCTTCAGCAGACGGCCGTCGGGCATTGCGAAGGACGTCAAACTGGCAAGGTCCAGCGACCCGGTGGTGGTGCCGGCCGGGAAGGCTCCCGACGTCGAGGCCAGATGCCCGGCTTGCAGCATCATTGTTGGGCCACTCCCGGCGGGAGAGCCACCCGCACCCTTCGGCGACCATGTGGCCATGCGAGCTTGCTGCTGCTGTTGCTGTTGCTGCTGCTGCTGCTGCTGCTGTTGGAGCTGCTGCTGGAGCTGCTGTTGGAGCTGCTGTTGGAGTTGCTGCTGCTGCTGCTGCTGCTGCTGCTGCTGCTGGAGTTGCTGCAGTTGCTGCAGTTGCTGGAGCTGTCGCTGGTGCTGGTCTAGTCGCAGGAATTCAAGCTCGAGCTCGAGCTGCTGTTGATTTGGAAGCTGTGAGGAGTGTAGCTGCTGCTGCTGCTGCTGCTGTTGTTGTTGTTGTTGCTGCTGCTGCTGTTGCTGCAGTTGCAACAGCTGCTGCCGCTGTTGCTGCTGAAGCATTGAATCTGGCAGATTCAGCAGGGCTGGCATGTTGGTCACGGTAGGCAGCCGGTCGGGCTGCATTTGCCCAGCAAATGCACCAGTCAGCATGGAGTTGGTGGTCAGGGAGCCAGAGGACAGGGAGCCGGTGGCCAGGGAGCCAGAGGACAGGGAGCCGGTGGCCAGGGGGCCGGTGGCTAGAGACCCACCGGGCTGCCAGAACTGGCCGCCATTACCGCCAACAGTGGGCCCGGTCGGCAACATATCACCCATTTGGTCGGAGCCACCGAGCCAAGCGCCCAGGTGCACGCCCTGCAGGGGGAAACCGCCGCCATTGCAGGCGCCGCCGGCATTGCCACCCTTGGCAAGACCAAGACCGGAGTCGGATGTGCCCGAGGAGGCAAGCACCCCAGACACAGTGGCAGGAGTGGTGGCGGCCGATTTGGGATTGGCTGTCAAGTGCAGCGGCGCCGACCCGAGAGCCGGGCCGCCAGCCGACGAGGCGCCCGAGAAGTCTGAGAACACCCAGCTGAAGGAGTCGGCGTTGACTGAGAGTTGCTGCTGCTGCTGCTGCTGCTGCTGTTGTTGTTGGCCTGCAAGGGGGGAGAGGGTCAGTATCCATGTGCCTGGGGACACACGCACGCACACATGCATAAATGTGCACGCGGTCGAGGGAGGGCATGTGTGCCGATGTGGATGCGAAGCACCCACAGGAAGAGATGGAACATACCTTGCTGCGAGCCAATCGGACGGGGGAAGGAATCACCCAGAACATTGCTGCTGGTAGTGCCGATGGCAAGCTGCTGGCTCGGGAGCATCGGCAACGACGATGCCGGCGGCGGCGGCGGCTGCTGCTGCTGCTGCTGCTGCTGCTGCGACACAACATTCATGCCCATGGAAAGCCCTGGCCGGGGGAGGACCCCACCCAAATGGGCTGGCAGATGGTGCTGCGCCGGCGAGGATGCAGCCTTGGTGCTGCCGGACGCCGAAGAGGGCAAGCCCCCTGGGCCGGGGGAACTCAGCGGCGAGGTGATGGGCAGCGCTGCCTGCGGCCCACCATCCAGCGGCAGGGCTCCGGCACCGGGGCCAGTGGAAGCATCAACAGGCAGGCGCGCCAGATCAGCCAGACGCAGGGCATTGGCGGTATCGAGCCCCAGTGCCCCGGGCCCGGGAGCCGTAGCCGGAGAAACGCCCCCCTGTGACGAGCTGCCAGACATGAATGGGGCAACCATGCCGGAGCCTGCCGCATCCAAAAAGAGTGGCAGCCCGCCAGAAGATCCGGACCCGGAGGCACCGGACTGCAGCAGCAGCAGTTGCTGCTGCTGCTGCTGCTGCTGCTGCTGCTGCTGCTGCTGCTGCTGCTGCTGCTGCTGCTGCTGCTGCTGTGGGGTTGCCGACTTCGACTCCGACAGGGCCAGTCGAGATCCGCCTCGGAGAGGAGGAAGTATCTGGCAATCGAGCAGGACCGGCGGGGGCGAGGGAGCCGGCGAAGGGGACCCAAGCACCGGGGCGAAAGCGCCGCCCGAGGTGCCGACCCCATTCCGCTGGACAGCCGACATCAGTGCTTGAGCCGTGGACAGGGACAGCCAGTTGTTGTCGCCAGAGTGCGAGGCGCGGCCGCCCTTGCCAGCCATGTCTTGGGCCACCAGGTCCAAGAGGAGGCTCATGGTGGAGTCCTTGGCCAGGGGGCCGGCATTGGCGTCAGCCCTGATGCTCTCATCCGGCGGGGTGATCATCAACATAGCTGGGAGGGTGGGATCCATCCGGGGGAAGGGCACGACAAGGGCAGGATCTTTATCTGCGCGCGGGCGCGGGCGGAGGGGGGGGGGAGGGGGAGGGCACGAGAGGGAGCGGCAAGAGGAGGCGGCGGAAGCAGGGGGAGGAGGGAAATCAGTGACCGTGAGCAAGAGCGCCGGTTGTTACACAGAGGAGAGGGGGCAAGGGCCAGGAAGGAAGAAGGCAAGTAGGGAGAGGATGGAAACCAAAGGAACAAAGCGGAACCCGGGGCAGACGCACCACTAGTCAGCGTTGTCACGAGAGACCCATGAGACGGCAAGGGTATCCCTGCATTGCTGACGCCGTTGCCATTGGGGTTCGTGCCAGGAGCACCAGTGCTGGCGCTGTTGTTGCTGTTGCTGTTGCTGTTGCTGTTGTTCTTGTTGCTGTTGCTGTTGCTGCTGCTGATGTTGCTGATGTTGTCGCCGCCGCTGTTGCTGCTACTACTGCTGCCAATACTAATGCTATTATCGCTGCTGTTGCTCCTGCTGCTGCCGGCGCCACCGCCGTTGATGACAGTCGGCAGGTCGGGAAGCAGACTGGCCCCATTGCCGGGGGGGCCACCACCCACCACGGACGTCGCCAGGAGGCTGGCCTGTTGCATGGCGGGCCCCGCGGCAAAGGCGGTGCCGGCTGAGGACAGGAGGCCGCCCACCAGAGAGGCGGCTGTGCCGGTGGAGGCGGCTGTCAAGGCCAGGCCGAAAGAGGGCTCTGGACCGCCAAGCATGGAGGTAGAGGCGATCGTGGCGCTGGCACCGGGTCCTGAGGAAGACAGGGACCCGAGCTTGGCCTTCGCGGTGGATACCCCCCCGGTGGCAGACCACATGCCGGGGCCGGCGTCCACCATGAGCAGGTCACCGGCGACAGTGCTGGGCGTGCTGCTGACGCCACTGGCCCCGGGACCGGTCGTGGCAAAGGCGGCCCCGTCGATCGATGGCCCGGCGGCCATGAACAGGGCATTGGTGACCGGGGCCCCGGCATTGGCCGGGAATGGTGACGGCTGGAGCACGGCAGGCGCCATGCCCGGGGGGGCAGGACCGCCATTGCCGCTGCCAGTGGCGCCGGCACTCAGCAAAGCCAGGGGGGCGGGAAGCGGGGCGCCGGTCAGCAAATCCATCGGGAAGCCGCCCGACGACAGGAGCGCCGTCGAGTGCGGGCCAGCGGATGGCTGCTGCGCCGGCATCGAGGCGCCCACCACCGGCAGGAAGGACCCGCCACCGGTCCCGCCACTGGTACCGAGGAGGGCGGTGCCGGCCGGGAGCCGGGACCGGTGATCGGCCGGGCTGCTGTTGTTGCATCTGCCTGGCAGCGTGGCCGAGAGAAAGCCCTCGGGCTGGCATGGGGCGGGGATTGGGCCTGGCCCGGCGGCGGTCGGAGTCGCGGCCGTGGCCAACGGCCAGATGGCCATGTCCAGGTCCGGGCCGGGCAGAGCGCCGCCCCGGGTGTCCTCGAAGCCCCGACCATCCGGCCGACCGGGCCAGGGAGCCTTGCGGAAAGACAGGGCACCGGTGGCCGGGGCGCCAGCAGCACCAAACCCGGAGGCCGAGGGCCCGGCCGACACGGCCGAGGCGCCGGCCACCCCGACTCCCGAGGGGGAGGGAACGCCTGACGGCATCATGGCCATGGCCGGGGGCTGGCCAAGGGGCAGGCCGCCGGTCAGGCGCTGCAGGGCCGCGTCATTGTCAAACGCCGCGCCAAAGGGCGCCGCGGAGTGGGGGAACTCCGCGCCCTTGTGGCTCTGAAAGGGGGGGGCGGGGGCACAAGCAGCCGAGGCCGCGACAGGGAGAGGGGGGAAGAGGGAGAGAGAGAGAGAGAGAGTCATGTCAGCAGCGGGCCGAGAGCAGCATATGGGGGCGGCAGAGTGGATGTGTGTGCGTGGGGGGGGGCGGGCATCCCCGAGCGAAGGGACAAAAAGGAAGCAGGCAAAGAGGCAGACACGAGGGCAGAGGAGAGGAGGGACGCACGATGCGCGACACAACGCGAAAGACCGCCACCGCCAGGACGTCCCACTCGAAGACCTTGATGCTTTTGGCAATGGTCCGCGGACGCGGCTCGCCCAGGCGCATGACCAAGTCATAGAGGGAGCTGCTCATTTCCAGCATGGTGGAGTCGACCGCGGCCGAGGAGGAGGAGGAGGAGGTGGTGGTGGTGGTGGTGGGGGTGGGGGTGGGAGTGGCGGAGGCGGAGGCTGCGGGCCCG